CAAGTATGTATAGAAATATTAATTCCTGTAGGCCTCATGTCTCCCTTTGAATGTTATGTAGCATCATGTTTCCCCTTGGAATGCCTTTTGCTCTCACCCCCTGGTGTTCTAGCTTCCTATGCCTGACCATTTGCTCAATTGCCCTGTCATATAAACACACATGTTTCACACTTCTGGCAGACCTACTGGAGCCTAGCTGCCAGGAGTCACGTACCACATGGAGGGGTGGTTAGAGGGAGTGGTTAGGGTTTGGAGTCACATTCTGCAGGTGGGGCTTCAATACTACTGACCACTCAAGACACTTGGACACTTTCAGATCTTGTTCAATTGGCTCCTGGCCCGGGGTCATTTGAATCCTGAAATTGCCCTTTATTAGTCTGAACCCAAAGACACGAGCTCAGATTTTCTGCTTGCTGTTCTGTTCCTGTTATCTGCTGTCTGTGAAATGCTTTGTTTCTGCCATGTGGCTGGCAGACAAAGGACTGGGTTGTGCAGCTAAGCACATGGCTGCATACTGGCCCAAAGATGAAACTTAACTGGACTTTATGCTGATGCTTCTGGACTATGGATCATCCTGGTAACTATGAATATCCGTAATGTGTAGTAAGGGCCACAGAGGGCCATAGGTGTTTTCTTGTTTTCAGTACTTTCTGTAGTCTGTGTTAAGTTCTGTGATAAATAAAACTATTTCTTGTTTAAGGACTGTCTGTTTGATGGGTAACTGATCTCCAAGCCTTAAATCCTCGTGTCTAGCTGGCTATGCTACCATTAAATCTTAAGAGTGCATCTCTAAGGAGGTGTTGGAGCTGGGCATGGTGGTTATTGTTTGTTAATATAGGAGTCCTTCCCTCATTCCTAGTGAGGCGTGGGGGCCGGATCCTATACAAAGTACTATTTCCAAAGTAAAGAGGAAGATTGGGGAGACTGGGGTATTGTGGGGGGGGGGCTTTAAAGATCCGATGGGGGCACCACTCCTAAAGCCCCACCGCTAGCTACACCCCTGATCCACTGTGAAGAGTAAACTATTCAGAGTGGGTGTGGGCCACTCCCAACAGAAGCAGAATTAATCTAAACCGAGTACATAATATGTGTAAAGAGAACCAATTACTTTCTGTAAAGAGCAACTCATCTCAATTCTTAACTGAGTGCACACCTGAGATTACCATGAATTTTCAGCTCAGCAGCTTCTTGCCGCAGTATCCTTTTGAAACTCTTCTTACCAAGTAATGTTACCTTTAAGTTTTTTAGTGTCCAGGGAGGGAAAAAATGCTCCCCCATTCAACAGATGTGATACTATCAGACTGTTAAAGGGGGCCAGGAGAAAAGCAGTTTTTTAAAAAGTAACCCTATCATGTCATCGGCAAGCATCAACCTCAGATATACAGATACACTTGAAACCATTATAGGCCACCAAAGTGACCTGCGCGATGGGAGAAATAAGTGATGAACATGGGCTCCGGTCACACAGAGCATTAGGCACGCTAGAGGGACGGAAGATAGGCGGATTTTCCAGGCGCGATCTCACCGCCACATCTGGGAAGCGTCGAGCTCCCGTGGTGAACCCGAGGCTTCCTGCGGAAGATGTGCAGTAAAATACTAGTACCTCGGAGGTACTAGTTTCCTGAAACCGCAGGGCAAGGGCGGGCGTCTGATCGCATTTCTGGTCGTAGTTCCGGCGCCCGCCCATGTCCCCTCGGAAAAAGGTTGGTTTTTTCCAAAGTCTCAACGGATGCGCACAAGCACCCAAGGGAGCATGCGCACATTTGAGTTTAAAAAAAACCCCAACCCCGTTTGCCCCGCGCCCCACTTCTTTGCCGCACCACAAGACTGTGGAGTGATCGGCACCTCCCCCCTACCACGGGACCTCCATCAGTAGGTCTGCTCGAGCAACCGCGCAGTTTTTAGCCCCGGGGCTAACAGCCACGTTTCCCCCCCGCATTTTCCTGCCCGTGTGATTGGGACCTTCATAAGACTCACCTTCCCAAAAGCCACTGCAGAATGACCTCTTTGCCTGCAATCCTTGTCTTTATTGCTAAACCGGATACAATAGCAGGCTGCACCTATTTCATTACAAGCTATTCTCTGTCCCCATCAATGGTACACATCTGTACAGCAGACTTGCAAATATAAGTGACCTATGATGAGCAAGGATTGCCTGTAACAGTGCAATCCCAAGTAGAGTTATAACCTTCTTAGTCCACTGAAGTAAATGAACCCGACAGGGTACAACTCCGTTCAGGATTTTCACTGGTGACTTCCAAGGTGGGATGGGTTTTACACAGATAGGGTTGTGGGGAGGGGTTGTCTCCTTTTTTGGAACCCACATTCTCAAACTGTGGAGCACAAGTCACCTGGAAGCAGAGCTGTAACCAGCGGTGGGGCTTTAGAGGCTGTGCCCCCTATAAATTACGGGGAGCCCCAGCTCCAGCCAGTGTGTCAGCTCTCCGAGAGGTCTTGGAGAGTTCTCAAGAGATCTGACTCACTGGCTGGCACACAGCCGCAGACACAGTGAGGCGCTGGGGTGGGCCATTCTCTAATGGCCCACCCTGGCACCTCACTGCGTCTGTGCCAGCTTGGATAGCCGAGGAGGCAGTCAAGCACCAGGGCAGCAAGTGCCACCAGCTGCCCTGCTGCTTCCTCTTCGGCCCTCCTCACAGAAGAGTCGCTCGTGGTGACATCACTCGTGTTGGGGAGGGCACAACACACACCCCATCCCAAAGCTCCCTTCTGGGAAACTTCCTGGGTACGGGGCTGCCTGGAAGATGAACTGAAGTGCTGTGACAAGCACTGTGACATCTTCCCTCTTCACATATCCTGGACAGGAACTTGACCATCAAGAGGTGAAGGAAGGTGTCCTTTGAGTCAGTGTCTGGAGTAACCATGCAGGCCTTACAGACTGGCAAAAGAGGGGAGCAAAACTGGAGGACCCCTAGAGATATCTATAATAGCTACCCTCTAATTTCACATGCAGCAATCTATGAACATTTTTACACTCACCAGAAAAGTCCACATGGGATTAGGGGGTGGGGACACCTTTGAAGGTAAAGTGCAAGTCCTGTTTTAAGCTATAATTTATTAGTACATGTACCATTATAGAATTTTATTTCATCATTAAGAATTTAACAAAGATTTAAGATCTTCCGATAGCTTTGATTAGTGAGCCTGAAGATTGGTCTGTTATCCTGTGGACTGATTTGCTATATTTTAGAATGTTCCAGCCATTATTTTTACCCTCACCCAAAATCTGTTCTTTGACTTCCTGTTCTCTAAGCAACTATATTTTAGTCGAGGACTGGTGCCATGTTATCTTGAAGGGTGGAAAGTATATAAGGTCTGTCTTCTTCATGTCCCTCTTGGAAATGTGGGATTTGCTCTAAACAGAGAGTAGGGGGGATTATGCTTAAGAACATAATGGTTGAACCTTTTTTTTCCAAATACCAGGCCCTGACCTTTTGTCTGCTTTATCCTATAAAGGGCTTTGAGTCTTGTTCAGTATGCCAGCTTGATAGGGAGACCTGAGCACTCTCTCGAGGTCGCATCAAGAATGATTATTCTTAGTAAAACTGTATGCTCTGTCAGCAAATGCCTTGAGTGAGTCTTCTCTCTCCCAGACTGATCTTGGAGAAGTGGGGGGTTGCACTGGGTTTTAGGAAATTCCCCTAACAGGTATCTTTGGATAAAGTGGGCTAACAATAACGTGTTAGTTTTTATGGAGTTACTTGCAAGGGTTGTTTGGAGGCCAGGAGAGAAGACTACCTTAAACAGCAGAGATGGTCAAAATTAAATTTAGGGGGAAAGCGGTTTTCTGCTACTTTCTACAAGTTTCCAGAGAGATTCTGACACTGACTGTAAATGGATTCCAGCAAATGTTGATGCACATACATGAGTAATAATTTTTCACCACTGATGTTGGGGTTAGAGACAACAAACTGAACTGACCTACCAGCAAACATGAGCTTCAATCGCTCCTTCCTTTATTCCAATGCCTCTTCTCCACTCCTCAAAAGAAGGTGGGCTTGTTTTGCCCCCATGAATAAGCAACTGCCAGATGTCTCCCAGAATTTTATCACAGCTTCCAGATTCAGGAGAAGAAATAAAAGAACTCTGTGTTCATAGGAACCATTCCACATGCAGCAGGCAGAGGCAGCAATGATTTGGCAGGCACAGAAAGCAGCACAAAATATCACTGTGCTAAAAAGAAAGAGACAGCCAGAGACTACTAGAGAGGAGAAGCCCTGATTTGAAACATAGGCCACTAGGCCCTGGCGAGTTCTCAGAAGTCAGTCCCACTGTGCATAAAGTTTACTCCCCCTTGAACTTACAAAGGCAGCTTCAGAGCCAGTTTACAAAGACTACACTGAAATTATTATTAAATTATTATTATTGCCTTGCCAGGTCTTGCTGTGTATTGGAACCAGTAGAGTGCGTTCATCGATCGGTTGGAGCTACAGCTCGGGAAACATTAAAACTTGCAGCCCAAACTCTTGCCACTAGCATGACCAGATTTCCACCACCAGCGCTTTAGCTACGAAATCCGTTTTCTCGTTTAGCATGAAAGGATCGCTTAAACTCACACACACCTGGTCGCGCCCTCTCGAGCATATTTTCCTCAAGCCCCTTCTGCCAGAAATATACCACCCACCCTTCCGTCTGCCATTTCTGACCTTCTTCGCATTTCCCCATCCTTTAAAACCCATACTTTTCCCAAAAGAAGGCGTGGGGGGGGGGGGGAATAGGGAGAAATTTTAATTAGTATATCTCAACTCCGCAGACACTGAAGCGGACCGCAACCCCAACTGTAACTCTTCCCCTGCTGGAGTGCCAATTCCCCAACCCTTCCCTAGAGCTGCCTTCTTCGCACCCGCCGACCGCGGCCAGCAGGAAGCGACCGACCTCTTTGAGAACTTCCCAGGATCCCGTCTGGGAAGAGGCGCCACAGTGTTGCGAAGTGTCTCGCCGGAGTCTGCCCCTCGGCCAGGGCGAGCGAGGAGGCCACTTACCCAAGTCCAGAGCAGGTCCCCGCACAGCCTTGCTTTCCCTTTCCTTTCCTTTCCCAGAGCAGCAGGGCTCCCTCCCGCTCGGCTCCCCAACGCCAGCCTCGCCTCCCAGGCTTGCCCTTCCCGTCTCTTCTCTTCCTCCCAACAGCAGGGAGCAGCCCTGACGTCACTCCCGAGCTCCTCCCACCTCAGAGACTGGAGGAGAGCGAGGAGCGACGGGCCACCGGCTGGCTGCGATTGGCGCCGCCGACAGTCGCTCCGCGCCCGCTTTGGGGTTTTGCGTTTTTGTTTTGGCCAGGCGAGGGAGAGGAGCGGGCTTTACCTAGAGCTGGGCGGGGGAGACTGCCGCGGACTGGCACTGGAGCCCCGCCGGAGCTCAGACACCAAAGCTTCGTTGGGGCGTAATTGCAAATGTCCACAGACGAGCGGGTTTTTCCCGCACGCTTGCAAAGACTCGGAAGTGCCGCCGCGGAAAAGTAGCGTCTCCCAAACCTTGGCCAGCCCTAACGTGCTTGATCGCCGCCCTGCCAGACACGCGGGTTAGGCTGCCTAGACTAGACCAGAGCACACGGAGGACTAGAAGGATGCTTGTAGCCGGCTTGATCTTGGAGACTTTACTCACGGCAGCCACCAAGAGTGATGTCGCGCGGACGAATGAGTAAAGTTCCAGGCGGACGCTGCCCGGTTAAGTTTACTTCTTCCTTTCTGTCCTCCCAGATGAAAAATCATCGCAGCAGTCTGAGCCCAAAGAAAGGTAAAGTCATACAGGGATTGAATCAATCAGTTAAATCCCGGCTGTTAGCCTTTTGCAACTTCTAATAAATGGTGGGGTCAATTTAAAGTCGCCGCTTACGTTTCATTGATTTATTTCCATCATTTATACTACAGATTTATCCCCAGTGGGAACTCTGGGTTACATCTTCTGTCCAACTTTTATCTTCACAACAACCCTATGAGGCAGGCTCTGCTGAGACTGGCCCAAGTTTGCTCAACAAGTGTAGGGATTCGAACCTGGGTCTCCCAGATCCTAGTCTGACACTGCAATTGCCCTGTCTACAGGCAGAAATTAAACAAGGCAGCTTTTTCTTCTCGTGGATGCCATAGCTGAATGTCTAGGGTTGCCACCCTCCAGTTGGTGGCTGGAGCTCTCCCACTATTATAACTGATCTCCAGTCAATAGAGATCAGTTCACCTCTATGTGAACTCTATGGCATATTATACCCTGTTGAAATCCTTCCCTTCCCTGAACCCCACCCTCCCCAGGCTCCACCCCCAGAATCTCCAGGTATTCCCCACCTTGCAGCTGGCAGCCTTACGACTTTTGGAATGTGATGCAGGCACATTAACTTTGACTCCCAGCAAATATTTCCATAACTACATGAAGGATCCGCACTGCAATTTATCTCTGTTAAATAAATTTTATCTCAGTGTGGAAAAGTTGTCAAACTTCACTTCACACTGATTTATTCTTCACCTTTGCCAATAATTTCTGCCATGCTTCCAAATTGTCTGTATTTCTCTGCACACATTCTGCCCCCAGTTCACAGTACAAGGTGCTGGATGAAATTAATAACTTAATGCACACTGCTAGAGGGAAATACTCGCACGGAAGTGGGGGAGTCACACTGGATGATACTTTGGGGTATGCATACCATCGCAGTACCTCATTTGTGTGCACACAGTTCTTTATCAATCAGTGGGATCGCCTTTGCTGAATCTGAGGCACTGTTATAAAAAGATGGTTATAAGTATCAATGAACCACAACAAATCTAAGGCATGGAAGCCTTTAGATAGGCAGGCTGTGATTGTATGCCATTGCTCATCTGAAAAGAAATCGAAGTTGACAAAATATTTATGAACATGGCTGAAATTCCTCCATCAAAAAATAATATCTATGCAAGTTAAGGCAAGTCCCTGACAAGGATTTCAGTTTTATCTTTTCCTTCTTGAATATATTGCCATTTATTGTCGGAGACTAAGCGATTAGGGAGGTTGCTATTCTGTGCACTCCCAAAAATTGAGCAATTAACAAAACAAGCCTCTGTCATGCCTAGGCTAGAAAAAGCAGCAGCAGCAGCTGAGTTTTACAGGTTAAGATGCTGTTAAAGCCAGTTTGGGTTTTTTGCGATCAGTTGTCAGCCTTATGTCAAAGCCACATAATGAGAGCAAAGTTCAAGTCCAGAGGCACCTTTAAGACCAATGAAGTTTTATTCAAGGTGAAGTGTAGTGGGTTAAAGGTAAAGGATTCCCTTGCTCGAAAGCCAGTCGAGTCCGACTCTAGGGTTGCAGTGCTCATCTCCGTTTCAAAGCCAAAGAGCCAGCGCTGTCCGAAGACATTTCCGTGGTCATGTGGCTGGCATGACTAAACACCAAGGTGCATGGAACGCTGTTACCTTCCCATTTATCTACTTGCAATTTCTTGCTTTCGAACTGCTAGGTTGGCAGGAGCTGGAACTAGAGACGGGAGCTCACTCCGTCATGCGGCAACCCGGGTCTCGAACTGCTGAACTACCGACCTTCCACTGCCCGCAGTTCAGCGTCTTAACAGCATGGTTTACTGGTACACAACAAAAGACAACAACTACTGGCCGGCTGGCCAACTATATACACACCTGGGTACACTCCCCTAGGTCCCGTTGGTAGGTTTAAATCTCCGGCCACGGTCCTATTGGTTCCCAAGTGGAGAGACTAGGAGCCTAGTCCCCATTGTTCCTACCGAGTCAAGCTCGGGGGGTATTCGCTGGCCCCTGGTGGCGGCCAGCGGACATAACACAAGGTATAGGCTTTTGTGTGCACACACACTTCTTCAGGTATCTTCTTCACACTTCTTCAGATAGTAGCCAACATGGCTGCTCACCTGAATTCACATAATGGGAGCAATCCTTAAACAGTGTGCTCAGAATCCTACTCTGGCCTATTCAATGAGGTTTACTCCCAGAAATGTGTTCTCAGGATTGCACTGCGTATTGCATCCCGCCCCCTCCCCCCGTTTCAATCACACTCTCGATCCACAAAGACTTCTAGCCTAGGCAATAGAATGTTATCAAGTTTATTAGCTTTGAAATAGGATATCCTCTGCTTGAAGGATTTCCAACCTCCAGGTGGGGCCTGAAGGTCTCCCAAACAACTGACCTCCAGACCACAGACATCCATTCCCCTGGAGGAAAGGGCAGCTTCAGAGGGGTGGACGCTGTGGAATTACATCTCCGCTGAGCTCCCTCCCCTCCCCAAATCCCTCCCTCCCCAGGCACTGCCCCCAAATCTCCAGGAATTTCCCAATCCAGAGCTGGCAACCCCATCATTCCTTTGTGGTGCAAGGCAGTTTATAAATCCAAATGTCAAAACATACAAGGAGCAGTAAAACCCCAACCAGCTTCCCTGCTCCAAAGAAAACACCTGCAGACTACAACCTATTAAAAAACCCTAGTGAAGAAAACAGCCCGGCAGCCCCTCCTAAACACTTCTGAGGATGATGTCCCCCTCACCTGCTTAAATAGTCCTTTCCGTAGGGCTACTATAGAAAAGGCAGGGGCTGCAGTTGATGCCAGGCAGGCTATTTCAAAGCAGAGGCATATCCCAACCTATCTCCCTTTACAAACAAATGACCAGTTCACACACAACGTGGCTGCCACCACAAAGACCTTCCCCTGCAGCTGGCTTGCACACTATGCCAGAACCAAAAAAAAAGAACACCACTTGGCAAAAAATAACTTACAAGCAAATAAGCAAGTATATAAAGATCAAATAAGCATAACAGCAAGTATAATGTAAATCAAATAAGCATAACAACAAGTATGATATAAATCAATAGGCCAAAGTGCAATGATAAATCAGTCACAGTCTTCTCCAGCATAGAGGCAATATCAAAGTCCAAATTGGAGTGCCAAACATCAAATTTTCTGAGCCATCAAAAGCCTCTGAGCCATCAAAAGCCGACGCGTAATCCGAATGCCTGAAGCCGCGTTTCGAATTATTCTTATTCAAGTATGGCTGTAATGGGACCCAGTCTCAAAAGCTGGCATATGCTAAGCAGCTACAAACACACACATACACTTTTCTTCATTGGGGTGGGAATGTCACTTGTGACATGTGGAGGGGCATCCAAAGCTTAAAAAAATTACGCAATTGCCCTATTGCAGCTGCGCAGTAGTGTCAAGCAAGTGTCTTTTATTTAAATCCTCATGGTTCAGTCTTTGTGCATGCATTTTAGCCTTAGTTTGTTGAATGAAAGGGAAAACAAAGGAAGGCAGGCAAAGGGGAAAAATCATCTTGAAACTGACCAGACTATTTTTGAAACTAATAGAGTAGCTGCTAGGTGCCATTTTCCATATTGCCAAGCACTAGGGGATTTTCTGCTGTGTTATCAGCCACCGTGAAAGATGGGAGTCACACAATCTCATAATATGGAGGAACATGGTGAGTGTACAGAATGCACGGCAGAACCCAATGACACTGGCACCGCAAGCTTCAGTCATTGGCAACGTGTGTGTGTGTGTGTGTGTTCAGCAATTCAAGACTAGCAATAGTTCTGGATTAGCGTTTTATCACTAGTCTTGCATTTTAAAAAAAAAAGGGCGGGGGGGGGGGGGGAATCAGAAAGTTGTGTTACAGGATGCAGTCCATCTTGGACTTCTGTTTACAGTGGTGGAGATAGATGGGCAGGAACCACTTTGAAGTGGGCGGGGAAGCTGATGTCAAGGCGTGACAAAAGACAGGAGATAAAACTCCAGTGTTTTCTTTCTGCTCTTTGGTTCGCTTCGGCTGGGCAACAACAACAACAAAAAAGTCACCACAAAAGAGTACTCAAAAAATGCGGGGGGGAAGCAAAAAAAAAAAGTGAAGCCAACCTGGAAACAATCAAAACATGTGCAGAAGGGGGGGAAACCCTGACGGACATGTAACCTGAATGGGAAGGGAAACTGACATGCATAAAAGGCCATAGTATCTCTGGGTGTTTGGGTTGTTTTGCATCCAGTGGTACTGTATATGAGAGGCAGTCAGAGTGCACACGTTCTAATTCTCTGACACATTGTCAGTCTTGAATAAGGCTTTGATATAATGAAAACAACACTTTTTTATATTCTTACCCATTCGTGCTATATTTTCAATTACAAGTCAGCCCGAGGCTCGTC